CTATCACCACCCAGACAATGTGTAAACAAATGTATATCTTGACTTCTGTAAACCACTGAAGTAACAAACAGAATGACAAAAGTCCCTTGGACCTTGGAATGTCCGGAGACCCCCGCCCTCGTCTCCACCCAGGAGGTGAATTACAGAATCCCCTGGACTTTGGAAAGTCTGGAGACCCCGGCCCTCATCTCCGCCCAGGAGGTGAATCACAGAATCCCCTAGCCCTTGGAATGTCCGAAACCTTTTCATCCCCATCCCCGCCCCTCACCCCCACTCCCAAGGTGGTTTTTCGGGTATAAAAAGTCTTGGCACCCTCCTTTTGACGCCACAGATTGGAGAAACGTGAGTCCTCTGTGGTCGCCGGCATAATAAATGACCCTGCAATCTGGCATACTTTTGTCTTGGTGCTAACTTTCTACGCTCGGTCCCATACAACAATTTAAGCTGAGAGTCATTAACCCAAAGAAGCAAATACCTGTATTCAGACAGATGGGAGAATAATGTTCTATGCAGAGAGGGACTAGAAAATACAAAAGTTCTTAGTGCAGAATGAGTTCAGGATGTTCATGAAATGTAAAGAAATTCACTGTGGCTGCAGAGAAATGAGGCTTGAGAGTCTGGTGTAAGATGAGGTTAGAAAAGGGAGGGGGTCACAAATGATGTGAGGGTAAATGCAGTAGACTGCTGTGCCTGCCAACAGCCCTTTACAGGCCGGTACAGGAGCACAGCTACATCCTCCTCTCCAGAACTGCCAAGCCTGCCTTCGAGCGTATCCCCATGCCACTCTGAGGGTTCGGGGAGTGGATGGACTACAGCCAGGGCACTGTTCTAAGGGGGCCACTCATACTCCAGAACTCTGTCCTGGGTTCCTGCTGAGGCTCCAGGTGAACCCACTTCTCTGCTCAGCTTCGTCTCCACCTCTCATTCCAGGGTTCCCCTGAGAGCTCTCCCTCAATGAAATAATCACATAAGAGTCCTCCTCTCAAGCTCTGCTTCCAGGGAACATGACCTAAGATGGTAAGGTTGTGAGTAGAGGGATACCTTGATATGAAAAAAGAAATATGCAATTTCCAAAGTTTATCTTTTCTTCTCGTTCTGTTTTAACCTAACAGTCAAATTTTTGTAAATTTAAGAATATGAATCAAAGTACTGAAAGCAAAGCCATTTTTTATGTGACTCTGTATCAGAGTAAATTATATCATAATCAAAGATGAGTTTTGTAAGAGAAAATTAAATTCACTTTTACTGGAATAGAAATAGAACACTTCTAGTAAGATATCTGCTAATCTGATACAAAATTATTAGTAATGATCATTCTGGCACAATCTCTGTGCCAGAGACTGATCTCTGTGCTAGACAGATACTTACCTAGGAGTTGCAGGGCTGAATTTTTCCTCTCTTTCTATATCCTTTCTTTGGATCAGAGGATTTTCAATCATCACTAAAACAGAGAGCAAAGTAAGATGACATCGCAAAGTAACAAGATAAACACATTAAAATCCTGTTTAATTTATAATCATGATAACTTTAGACTTTAAACATTTCATACCTCATTCATCTTTCCACCATCAACATATAACATATTTTGATACTGAAATGTCAAAATTGAAATCTTTATCTCCATATATAATTAATATATTTATATATAACTAATAATTTATTCAACGGATGTCTATAGCTATACTGGCCCCTATGAAATTTGGAAAGCTTTCCGCCTTCATAGTCCCTGTGTTCGATGACTCTGTTATTCAACTAGAGAGATATCATACATTGTCCTGAAAGTTAATAATACAAGGCAATATATCATTAGGGTCTAAATAACTGGTATGGGGAGTGGGCTGCTTGAGACCACAGTATTGAAGAGGAGTGTTTTCATTACCTGCATTACTCTTTCTTTTCTCTTTTTCTACCGTGAAGGAGAGCTAGTACACAGGCTTTCTTGTTCCTTTTATTAGGCTAAGGCTGTCATCTGTTGAGTGACTAAGTTCCACACTTCATACTAGGTACGTTATCTTTTGTGTGTGTGTGTGTGTGCGTGAGTGAGAGAGTGAGTGTGAGAGAGAGAGAGAGAGAGAGAGAGAGAGAGAGAGAGAGAGAGTCTTGCTCTGTTGCCCAGTCTGGAGTGCAGTGGCACGATATTGGCTCACTGCAGCCTCCACCTCCCAGGTTCCAGGGTTCTCCTGCCTCAGCCTCCTGAGTTGCTGGGATTACAGGTGCATGCCACCACACCTGGCAATTTTTTTTTTTTTTTTTTTTTTGTATTTTAAGTAGAGACAGGGTTTCACCATGTTGGTCAGGCTGGTCTCGAACTCCTGACCTCAGGTGATCCACCCGCCTCGGCCTCCCAAAGTGCTGGGATGAGCCATTGCACCCGGCCACACTATCTCATTTAATATTTACAAGAACCTAATGAGGTATTATTTCATAGTTGAGACCCAACAAGATTAAGAAATGTTCTCAAAGCCATTTGTAAGTAAATGTTGAAACTGGGACTTGAATCTAGACCTCTGTGTTTTCAAAGTCTACTGTTCTTTCTACTATACTAGTTTGTACTGTCAAAGGGATACTGGGTGAGTAGCAAATCCAAAGGATTTGGTATTTCAGCCAAAGGTAAAGTTCCTTAAAATCCCATTAACAATTCAAATATCAACTTTTATCAAAATCGATTCAGTGTCCCTATTATATGTCTAAAGAAAGATAACCAATTATAACAATAATAAGGGTTGATGCAAATTTAAATATGTAATAAACCAAAGACAGTAAGGTTACCTAGTAAAAATATAACTATCATTTTGTATGCTTCAAGTAACGTTCTGAATGCCTTGCATTGCAGTTATTTATTTATTTATTTTTGAGACAGGGTCTCACTCTGTGACCCAGGATGGAGTGCAGTGGCACTATATTGGTTCACTGAAATTTCCATTTCCCAAGCTCAACCCATCCTCCCCCTTCAGCCTCCTCAGTAGCTGGTACTACAGGCCCACGCCACAAAACCCAGCTAATTTTTTGTACTGTTTATAGAAATGGTTTTGCCATGTTGCTCAGGCTGCTCTCAAACTCCTGAACTCACATAATCCACCTGCCTCGGCCTCCCAAAGTGTTGGGATTACAGTTGTGAGCCACTGCACCCCACTGCATTATACTCTTAACACTTGGCTTTTTCTGATAACTTTTTTTTTCTGTTGAGATGGAGTCTTGCTCTATTGCCATGTGGGAGTGCAGTGGCGCGATCCCAGTTCACTGCAACTTCCATTTTCCAGTTTCAAGCAATTCTCCTGCCTCAGCCACGTGAGCAGCTGGGAAGCACCCCCAAGCCCGGCTAATTTTTTGTATTTTTAGTAGAGATGGGGTTTCACCATGTAGGCCAGGATGGTCTTGACCTCATGATCTGCCTGCCTCGGACTCCCAAAGTGCTGGGATTATAGGCATGAGCCACTGTGCCAGGCCCCTGATAAGGTTCTTGAGAATTACGAATTGTGTCTCATTTCAGCTGCCTCAGTATGTAGGGCTGAGGGCCCCACAGGGTCGTGGGGTGTCCCTTACGCTGTGCTGAGGAGCAGGATCTGAGAAATAAAGAGACAGGACACCGAAGTACAAGGAAAATGCAGCTGAGCTCAGGGGGGCCACCCCACCTATAAGTGGAGTCAAGTGAGGCCCCGAATGTCCAGAAGCATCAGTATTTATTGTGTATAGGTTAGGGGGCAGGGCAGTGACTGAAGTCATCTTTAAGGATAGTGATAGGGTTGTGAACAATAAACATGGAGTCCACCCCCATTAGGTCACCTAAGCTAGGAGATGGACAGTGGGCAGCAAGGGGTCCATTCCCATTAGGTCATCAAGGCAAGGAGGTGAGCTGTGTGCAGTAGGGGTTCCACCCCCATTACGTCACTGAGGCATGGAGGTGGGCCATGGGCAGGGAAGAGGGTGCAGTCTGCGATACCTCTATCTTTGGGCAAGCTACTTCTAAGATGATTTACGGGAAGATGCTTTAAGTCACACAGCAGTGACAGAGCTGTCAGAGTTACCGCCACCTGCTGGCAGCTTTCAATGAGTTCTATAGGGGAATGCTTTTTGAGTGAGTACAGTAACAAGAGCTGATAAAGTTTACAGTCACCAAGGTGCGATTACCCGGAGGGGTTTTGAGCCCTCGGATGCTCAAGGGATTGCCGGTCTGAGGTTAGCCCTCCACAAGAACTGGAGCAAGGTCCTACAACTCCTTTATCAGGAGGAGTGGCTCTCACCCCAAGCCTGCCATACAGCAGGTATCTTTCCGATACTGAATGCTGCCGCCTGGGCCATGGATTCTGGTCCCGGTATAACTGTTTTCCCTTAAATCATGTTCTGCACTGTGTCTGCTCCAGACATTCCTCCGACTATAAGCTGCTTATTCCTTAATTCATGCTCTGTACTGTGTCTACTCTAGGCATTCCTCCGATTGTGAACTAAGATATAGTTCATATCTTAGTTAAATAACTTTAACTAAGTTATTTCCCTAAATAACTTAGGGAAATAACTGAGTGGTAACACTATAAACTGAGATATTCTTCAGATCTTTTTTTTTTTTTTTTTGAGACAGAGTTTCGCTCTTGTTATCCAGGTTGGAGTGCAATGGCACCATCTCAGCTCACCGCAACCTCCGCCTCCTGGGTTCAGGCAATTCTCCTGCCTCAACCTCCTGAGTAGCTGGGATTACAGGCACGCGCCACCATGCCCAGCTAATGTTTTTTGTATTTTTAGTAGAGACGGGGTTTCACCATGTTGACCAGGATGGTCTCGATCTCTTGACTTCGTGATCCACCCGCCTCGGCCTCCCAAAGTGCTGGGATTACAGGCTTGAGCCACCGTGCCAGGCCTTCTTCAGATCTTAATTGTTCCAGGATACTGCTTAGCTCTCCTTCCTTGGTGCCTATATGGGCGGTTACCCACATCAGTATAGTTACCACAAACATACCACAGGAATAATACTGTACTAGAAAAAGTTTAAGAATCAATGCCAACTTACCACAATCACCAACCCTAAAGCTGTCAGAAAGAGACTTGATGTAATCTTCACTGCCCCAGGAAGTTGCATTTACAAAATGTGCTGGTGAATCCCGAATGGTGAAGCTGAAAGTGTATCTTTCTGATCCAATATCTAAGGGAAAACCAGTGCTTTTATTTTTCAAATAAAGGGTTTCAATCACTTCTCCGCCTTTTGATAAGTGTCACATGAAGTTTCAATTCTGAACAAATGATTATTTCTTTAATCAAATGATTCTTTATTATGATGATAAAAATACTCAAACGCATGGTACAAAATGTTATTTCAGATGTATATTCTATAACGTTATGCTTCTATGAATTTCAAACTGAAGTGGTAAGAAGTTGCCCCCTTGATCCCTTCCCTGGTTATCTGTGTATTTGGGGGAAAAGACATGTAAATTTGAGCTATCCAGGTATTACCTTAGGTTCTCCTTTTCTCTCTTGCTGTTGTTTGAACCTAAGTCATAATTCAGATTTAAATAGTTATTTCAGTCCCAGCTACTTGAGAGGATGAAGCAGACGGATTGCTTAAGCCCAGTAGTTCAAGGCTTCAGTGAGCTGTGATTGCACCACTGCTCTCTAGCCTGGGTGACAGAGAAAGGCCCCGTCTCTAAAATAAAAATAAAAATAGCCCAAGCATGGTGGCTCACACCTGTAATCCCAACATTTTGGGAAGCTGAGGTGGGTGGATCACCTGAGGTCAGGAGTTCAAGACCAGCCTCACCAACATGGTGAAACCCCATCTCTACTAAAAATACAAAACTTAACCAGGCGTGGTGGTGGACACCTGCAGTCCCAGCTACTTGGGATGCTGAGGCAGCAGAATCACTTGAACCTGGGAGGCAGAGGTTGCAGTCAGCCAAGATCCAGTCTGGGTGACAAGAGTCAAACTGTCTCAAAAATAATAATAATAAAACTTGGCTGCACACAGTGGCTTGCTCCTGTGATCCCAGGACTCTGGGAGGCTGAGGTGGGAGAACCACTTGAGGCCTGGAGTTCAAAACCAGCCTGAGCAACATAGAGAGATCCCATCTCTACAGAAAATTTTTAAATTAATGGTGGACTGGTCTTTCCTCTCAGCTACTAGGGAGGCTGAGGAGGAAAGGTCACCTGAGCCCAGTTTAAGTGTGTAGTGAGCTTTGAATGCACCACTGTACCCCAGCCTGGGAAGAGTAAGTTCAGGGTGTTTATGAACCATACACCTAGGCTGGAGTGCAGTGGTGCGATCTCTCAGCTCACTGTAACCCCACTCCCAGTTCAAGTGATTCTCCTGCCTCAGCCTCCTGAGCAGCTGGGACTACAGGCACTATTTATACCAGGCTAATTTTTATATTATTTTAGCAGAGACGGGGTTTTTCAGTAAAGGTGGGGAAGAACAGAGTGAGATCCTGGATCTAAAAAACTTAAAATAATTTTTTTAAATAATTAAGTTATTTGAAAACAAATTATGTGCTACTCAATGAGGACCACTAGGGGTCAGCAAATAGTTTTTTTGCAGAACAGAAATTTAATATTGGTTTTCCTAATTAAAAATTACAACAGGCCAGCATGGTGGCTCACGCCTATAATCCCAGAATTTTGGGAGACTGAAGCAGGCAGATCACAAGGTCAAGATCGAGACCATCCTGGTCAACATGGTGAAACTCTGTCTCTACTAAAATACAAAAAGTTAGCCAGGTGTGGTGGCGTGCACCTGTAATCACAGCTACTTAGAAGCCTGAGGCAAGGGAATTGTTGAACCCGGGAGGCAGAGGCTGCAGTGAGCCGAGATCATACCACAGCACTCGAGCCTGGCAACAGAGCAAGAGTCCATCTTAAAAAAAAAATTACAACCGCCAGGCATGGTGGCTCAACCCTGTAATCCTAGCACTTTGGGACACCAAGGCTGGTGGATCACAAGTTCAAGAGATGAAGACCATCCTGGCCAACATGGTGAAACCCCGTCTCTACTAAAAATACAAAAATTAAGGCTGGGTGAGGTGTCTCACACCTGTAATCCCAGCATTTTGGGAGGCCGAGGCAGGCGGATCACCTGAGGTCAGGAATTTGAGACCAGCCTAACCAATATGGAGAAACCCTGCCTCTACTAAAAATACAAAATTAGCCAGGTGTGGTGGTGCATGCCTGTAATACCAGCTACTTGGGATGCTGAGGCAGGAGAATCGCTTGAACCCAGGAGGCGGAGGTTGTGGTGAGTTGACATCACACCATTGCACTCCAGCCTGGGCAGAAGAGAAAAAAAAAAAAGAAGACTTTAAAGCTAATAGTAGTGAACTGCAAGTTTTACCATTCTACTTATTTTTTGTTTTGTTTTTTTGAGACACAGTCTTGTTTTGTTGCCAGTCTGGAGTGCAGTGGTACGATCTCTGCTCACTGCAACCTTCACCTCCCAGGTTCAAGTGATTCTCCTGCCTCAGCCTCCTGAGTAGCTGGGATTACAGGCACGCACCACCACGCCTGGCTAACTTATAGTATTTTAGTAGAGACGGGGTTTCACCATGTTGGCCAGGATGGTGTCGATCTTCTGACCTCGTGATCCGTGCGCCTCAGCCTCCCAAAGTGCTGGGATTACAGGCGTGAACCACTGTGCCCAGCCTACCATTCAATATTTTATCTTTCATGTCAACTACAAACATTTGAAGGTGAACTGATTTTTAAAATGTAGGTTCAGTCCTGGTTTATGTTTTCATAGTCCTAAAACTTTTGTGCAGTTCAAGTAACTCAATAAGAACTCTAGGCTGGGCGTGGTGGCTCACGCCTGTAATCCAATCAATTTGGAGGCCAAGGCGGGTGGATCACCTGAGGTCGGGAGTTCAAGACCAGCCTGCCTAACATGGTGAAACCCCATCTTAAAAAAAAAAAAAAAAAAAAAAAAAAAGAACTTCTAGACTGGGCGCGGTGGCTCACGCCTGTAATCCCAGCACTGTGGGAAGCGGAGGCAGGCAGATCATGAGGTCAAAAGATCGAGACCATCCTACCCAACATGGTGAAACCCCGTCTCTACTAAAATACAAAAAATTAGCTGGGTGTGCTGGCGGGTGTTGGTAGTCCCAGCTACTTGGGAAGCTGAGGCAGGTTGATCATGAGGTTAGGAGTTTGAGACCAGCCTGGCCAAGTTAATGAGTTGACCATTTTAACCAGTTATTTTGCCATTGTATACCTAAAACATGTAGGCCAGGCGCAGTGGTTCACACCTGTAATCCCAGCACTTTGGGAAGCCAAGGCAGTTGGATCACGACGTTAGGAGTTCGAGACCAGCCTGGCCAACATGGTGAAACCCCATCTCTATAAAAACACAAAAATTAGCTGGGTGTGATGGCAGGTGCCTGTAATCCCAGCTAATAGGGAGGCTGAGGCAGGAGAATCGTTTGAACACAGGTGGAGGTTGCAGTGAGTCGAGATCTCACCACTGCACTCCAGCCTGGGTGATAGGGCAAGACTACGTCTTAAAGAAGAAAAAAAAAGAAACATCAAATAAAATCATTAAAAATGATTTTCAGGCCAGGTGCAGTGGCTCATGTCTGTAATCCGAGCACTTCTAGAAAGAAGCCAAGGTTGGTAGATCACTTAAGATTAGGAGTTCGAGACCAGCCTGAGCAACATTGCAAAACCCATCTCTACAAAAAATACAAAAAGTGAGCTGGATGTGGGGATGTGGCAGTGTGCACCTGTAGTCCTAGCTACTCAGGAGACTGAGTGGGACAGAATGGCCTGACCCTGAAAGGCAGACATTGCAGTGAGCTGAGATTGTGCCATTGCACTCCAGCCTAGGTGACACAGAAAAACTCTGTAAAAAAAAAAAAAAAAAAAAGGTTTTACTGTCCTCACTCCTATAGCCTTGAATCAGAGACGATGGCCAGTGCCCTCAGGGAATTAAACAGGCAAAGAAAATTAATCTCTTAAATAGACTTTGTTATAGTCAAAAGCCAAAGTTGATGAAAAATGAAGCAAAGAGTTAAAGAGAACTCAGCTTTTTCTGTCTGGAAATCCTCTGACATCTGTTTTCCCGATAACTATACCGATTATTTTCTGAAAAACAAAAAGGTTACAGAAGACCAATATTAAACACAGATGTACATGGTAAATTTAATTTCATGGGCTTGTTATATTTTACTGGCTCTAACAAACATTTCTGACTAGGAACCATTTAAATGTATTTATTGCAGACAAACATCTACAAGAATTTCATAACTGTTCAATTCCACAAGGAATAGTACAAAGTAATCCAAAAGTTTACTATTACAAATATAATCATTTAACACAGCATATTTCTACTTTATTTTCTTTTTTCTTTCTTCCCTTTTTTTTTTTTTTAAGACAGTCTCGCTCTGTCACCCAGACCGGAGTGCAGTGGCGCAATCTCAGCTCACTGCAACCTCCACCTCCCAGGTTCAAGTGATTTTCCTGCCTCAGGCTCTCAAGTAGCTGGGACTACAGGCACCTTCGACCATGACCAGCTAATTTTTTGTATTTTTAGTACAGATGGGGTTTCGCTGTGTTAGCCAGGATGGTATCAATGTCCTGACCTCGTGATCTATCCGCCTCAGCCTCCCAAAGTGCTAGGATTACAGGTGTGAGCCACCGCACCCAGCCTCTACTTTATTTTCAATCACTAGATGGAGCACAATAACTGCCCTATGCTATCAATCTTTATTTAATTGACCCAAAGCACAAGATAATGCAGTTTAATTTGCCATCATCTTAAAAGCTTTCCTTTATATAGGGTGTTCTAATAATCCACATAAAATTGCTTTTCTCTTAATCCAAACATGCTGGACAGTGATATAAATTAGACTATAACAAAACTTGTATTTTGCTGCTAATAAATCTAAATTCTAAAGTCCTAGATCTTAAACCTTAGAGATATTAACATCTCCTTAAGATGTTTAATATTCTCTTTAGTGACTACCGAAGACAAATTTTAAATGTGCTTTTATTTTCCTTTTTCTTTTTTGCCAGGTAAGTATGAAACGTGCTTTAAGATTAAAAAAAAAAAAATGGGCTGAGTATGGTGATTCATGTCTGTAATCCCAGTACTTTGGGCAGCGCAGGCGGGTCAATCACCTGAGGTCACGAGTTTGAGACCAGCCTGAACAACATGGTAAAATCCTGTCTCTACTAAAAATACAAAAAATTAACCGGGCGTGGTGGGGGATGTCTATAATCCCAGCTACTCGGGAGGCTGAGGCAGAATTGCTTGAACCCGGAAGGTGGAGGTTGCAGTGAGCCCAGATCATGCCACTGCAATCCAGCCTGGGCAAAAGAGCAAGACTGCATCTCAAAAAAAAAGCTGGGATTGAAAAAAAGAAAAAAAAATTATTATCTTTTCTGAAAGAAAAAACTAAACTTGTTTTGCTAATTGCAGCAACTGATTTCAACCTTACAAAAATCTGTGATATTTAAATTACAATCAGGCTTTTAAGACGCCTGTATTATAGGTGAGCTATTAGCTAGCCTTACTGCTTATTTAGACGCTTTGATATTATTTCTTTAATTCCTTATACATGCAAATCTCACTGAATTTTGTTGGAAAATCCAACCAACAGGAATGCTGAGTAAAATTCTATCTGAAGAGATCATTATTAGCAAATAGTTTACTTTTCAAGAAAAACAATAACACCAATTATCATTTGTTAATACTTACAAATTTTAAATTACAAATTATTAAAGTTATATGTAAAGGTGTCCCATTGTAGGAAATCTAGTTTGCAAAAGCAAAATATAAATGGCAGACTACTCATGGGCAGGGAAGGTGAGGGTATATGGTAGTTGCTTTACAATAAGTTCTTCACCTTATGGTTTTTTTTTTTAATAAATAACACTTGAAATGTATTCAAAAATCACTGAATTCCCCTATAACTCCTCCTCAAAAAGTCAATTTTCACATAATAATTGCAGAAAACATACCAGTTATAAACCTTATATCATAAAAGCAGCATAATGTCAAGTATTTAGACAATAACTTAGATAATTTGGTTAGAAAATTGCTGCTACTGAACAAGATGGTTTGATGTTTTTGGGGGCGGGGGACGGAGTTTCATTCTTGTTGCCCAGGCTAGAGTGTAATAGCATGATCTTGGCTTACAGCAACCACCTCCTACCGGGTTCAAGCGATTCTCCTGCCTCAGTCTCCTGAATAGCTGGGATTACAGGTATATGCCACCAAGCCAGGCTAATTTCGTATTTTTAGCAAAGACGGGGTTTCTCCATGTGGGCCAGGCTGGTCTTGAACTCCCAACCTCAGGTGATCCACCCACCTTGGCCTCCCAAAGTGCTGGGATTACAGGCATGAGCCTCTTTAATTTTACAATGCTATTAAATATTTAATTAAAATAATACAAACATCTATCGATCATTTTGAACAATTACTAGTCACATCTACAATCATAACTCCTACTCTACCCAAAGATTAATTTTCATCTAGGCAGCATAAATACAAAGAAATTTAGGTATACTTAATATCTAACAATTATACCACTGCAAGGAGTATCTATATACTTGTTGATTGTAAAAGCATGTGTTGAATGAATCAATAATGTTGATGCAATGTTATCATATAAAATTTCATTAGTGAGCAAATCAGCATATCATTGAAACTTACCAGATTAGCCATATTTGGCTGCAGATCTGAAAGGGCAGTGAGGGTCCTTGATGCAAAGGAGTTTGCCATTGTTTTATCTGCATATTAGAAAATATAATTTAGATATATAAATTGAATAAACGAAATAAACCATAAAAAATTCCAAAAGTTTAAAATATTATTTAAAGCCAGGTGCAGTGGCTCACACCTATAATCCCAGCTACTCAGGACGCTGAGGCAGAGAAAACTGCTAGAACCTGGGAGGTGGAGGTTGCAGTGAGCAAAGATTGTGACACTGCACTCCAGCCAGGGTGACAGAGATTCCGTCTCAAAAATAAAATAAAATAAAATATTATTTAGGAAAGCACTGGATATTTTACTTCTTCTTTGGAAAATTTTTACTATAATGGTAAAATGTGAATGAACATATATTCAACCTATAGAAAACATTTTCAAAATGTCCTCTTATAATTTTGAATTATATAGCTATTATAAGTTTCCATTTTTAACTTTCACTTTCTAAAACCGTGTAAAATTTAGCAGTTTTTGAGGACGGTGTAAATTTAGTTTTATCTTTTAAATTTTTTTTTTTTTTTTTTGAGACATGAGTCTCGCTCTGTGCCCCAGGCTGGAGTGCAGTAGCACAATTTCAGCTCACTACACCTCTGCCTCCCGAGCTCAAGCGATTCTTCTGCTCAGCCTCCCAAATAGCTGAGATTACAGGAATGTGCCACCACCCCTGGACAATTTTTGTATTTTTAGTAAAGACAGGGTTTCACCATATTGGCCAGGCTGGTCTCAAACTCCTGATCTCAAGTGATCCGCCCGCCCCAAAGTGCTGGGTTACAGGCTTGAGTCACCAAGCATGGCCAAAATTAGAGTTTTACACACAAGATGATTCAATGGGACATTTAAGGATTTAAATATATATTAGCTTCAAGCTTACCTCAAAAATACAGCAAAAATCTGTAAATACCTCAAATTGTGCATTTGGTTACACTATGTGAAAAAAAAGGTGGTAGTTTTAAACACACCTCTACCTGGTAAATTCCATGAGGGCAGAGGTGGCATCTTACATATTTTTACGTATGTATTCCATAACTGAAAATACTCACTACCTATCAAATGAATGACATGGTGGTTTGTCCCTCAACATCATCACTGTAAGAGGTTCTATTGTAGTAAAAATTGTAAGCTACACCAAACAGATTGACTTGCCTTCACTTAATCCAGGGCCTCTCTGTGAATGCCCACCTCCACAGGCTACAGCTCCAGGATGTGTCTTATATCACCCAAGTTTCAGGCAGCCTGTGGAGTTAGTCAAATATGATTTTGTTTTTGTTTTTGAGACGGAGTTTCACTCTTGTTGCCCAGGCCGGAGCGCAATGGTGAAATCTCGGCTCACTGCAACCTTTGCCTCCCAGGTTCAAGGGATTCTCCTGCCTCAGTCTCCAGAGTAGCTGGGATTACAGGTATATGCCACCAAGCCCAGCTAATTTTGTATTTTTAGTAAAGACAGGGTTTCTCCATGTTGGTCAGGCTGGTCTTGAACTCCCAACCTTAGGTGATCTGCCCGCCTCAGCCTCCCAAAATGTTGAGATTATGGGCGTGAGCCACTGTGCCCGGCCCAAATATGACTGTAGTACCACTAGTTTGTAGTCATGCGGATTTTTTTTTTTTTTTTTTTTTGAGATGGAGTTTCGCTATTGTTACCCAGGCTGGAGTGCAATGGCGCGATCTCGGCTCACCGCAACCTCCGCCTCCTGGGTTCAGGCAATTCTCCTGCCTCAGCCTCCTGAGTAGCTGGGATTACAGGCACGCGCCACCATGCCCAGCTAATTTTTTGTATTTTTAGTAGAGACGGGGTTTCACCATGTTGACCAGGATGGTCTCGATCTCTTGACCTCGTGATCCACCCGCCTCAGCCTCCCAAAGTGCTGGGATTACAGGCGTGAGCCACCGCGCCCGGCCCCCCCATTTTTTTTTTTTTTTTTTTTTTTGACTCGCTCAGGCTGGAGTGCAGCGGCACGGCCGTGGCTCACTGCAACTCCTCCTCAGCCTCCCGAGTAGCTCGGATTACAGGCGCCCGACCCCACGCCCAGCTCGTTTTTGTATTTTTTATTATTATCATCATTTTTAGTAGAGATGGGGTCTCCCCCTGTTGGCCAGGACGGCCCCGCGTTCCCGTCCCGCCTCGGCCTCCCGAGCAGCGGGGTGACAGGCGCGCGCCGCCACGCCCGGGTAACTTTTTTGTATTTTTAGTAGACACGGGGTTTGTGTCGGCCAAGCGGGTCTCGAACTCCCGACCTCCTGACCCGTGGCGCCGGGAGGACAGGCGAGAGCCACCGCCGCCCTTTTCCACTGACAGGTCGAGGCTCGGAAAACGCAGCTCCGCGAGGGGCTTTCCCGCGTGTCCTCCGGCGCCGGCCGCGAGGAGCCCCGGGCAGGGCCAAGCAGCGGAGGCCGCGGGAGACGCCGGGAGGGCGGCGAGACAGGACGGCCCGCGCCCCCCGCCCCGCGGCGAGCCGAGGACGCGGCCAGGCCCGGACCCCACACGCTCCGCCCGCTCCGCTCCCCGCACGCGCGCCCCGAGCCCCGCAGGGCCTCCGTCAGCCGACCCCGGCCGGCCCCGCGCGGGCTCCCCTCCGCGGACGCCGCCTCACAGCTGGAGGCCGGGCGGGCGCCGCCACCGCGCCGTCCACGCCGCTGCTCACCCGAGGCTCTCCGGGGCGACTGCTTCCCGGCCCTGCACAGCGGCAGCCGCGACCTCGCGGACCTGGCTCGCCCGACCCCCGAGTCGCCCGCGCTTCGCGGCTTTTCCACACGACGCTCGGCACACAGACGCGTGCAGGTGCGACGGCCGCGCGACCGTTAGCGAGAGGCCTCGCCCCGTCATCGGAGACTCCGCCCCCTCCGTCCCCGACTCCGCCCCCGCCACGCACTGACTCCGCCCCCGATCCCCGACTCCGCCCCCACAAATCACGGTCTCCGCCCCCTGCGCAATGACTCCGCCCCACCGCGCTCCCACTCCTCGCCACCAATTGCTGACTCCGCCTCGCCGAGCACTGACTCCGCCCCGCCAAGCACTGACTCCTCCCCGCCACGCTCCGACTCCGCCCTCCGGGGAGTGTAGGGGCTTCTGGTTCCCTTTTCTTCCTTCCCGGGAGTGGGAGGGGCGGCGGGGGGGGGTCTCCGTGCGCACCCACCGCCCCGAGTGGCTCGATACAAAAAGAATGTGCGCTGGAAAAAAAACAGACGTATCCATCTATCTGTAATACTATAAAGTGGAGCTCGAATCCCAGCACCTGGCAGGCCGAGGCAGGCGGATCATTTGGGCTCAGGAGTTCAAGACCAGCTTTGGCAACATGATGAAACCCTGTCTCTACTAAAAATACAAAAAAAAAAAAAAAAAAAATTAACCAGGCGTGGCGCCGCCCTCCTGCTGGAGTAGTCCCAGCTACTAGAGAAGCCGAGGCATGAAAATCGCTTAAACCCAGGAGAGGGAGGTTGCAGTGAGCGGACATTGCAGCATTGCACTCCAGCCTGGGCAACAGAGTGAGACTCCAAAAAAAAAAAAAAAAAAATTAGCCAAGCATGATGGTGCATGCCTTTTGTCCCAGCAACTGGGGAAGCTGAGGCGAGAGGATCGCTTGAGCTCAGGAGTTCAAGCCTGCAGTGAGCTCTGATGGCACCCCTGCACTCCAGCCTGGGCAAAAGTAAGACCTTGTCTCTACAAAATTAATTAATTAATATAATATATCTACATCTAATGATAGATTTGGCATGTAGTATCATCAAGAAAATACCCATAGATGTGTACACCTATGCATGAAAAAAATATGTATAATTAGGTGTGCTAAGGATTGGACTTAGGTGAATCTGACAAAAAATTTCTCAACTCTTCATGTTTTTATTAATTCCTTTTAAAAAATCCCAGCACCTGGCAGGCCGAGGCTTTTTTTGAGACGGAGTTTCGCTCTTGTTACCCAGGCTGGAGTGCAATGGCGCGATCTCGGCTCACCACAACCTCCACCTCCTGGGTTCAGGCAATTCTCCTGCCTCAGCCTCCTGAGCAGCTGGGACTACAGGCACGCGCCACCATGCCCAGCTAATTTTTTGTATTTTTAGTAGAGACGGGGTTTCACCATGTTGACCAGGATGGTCTTGATCTCTTGACCTCGTGATCCACCCGCCTCGGCCTCCCAAAGTGCTGGGATTACAGGCTTGAGCCACCGCGCCCGGCCTTAGAAATCTTTTTAGTCTGGATAAGCAGAGACTGACTAGAAAAAAAAAAAAAAAAAAGAAAAAAATCTTGTTAGTCTAATGACTTATTATACTAATTTTTGTTAACAGAGTATCAGTCCAGAGCAAGTAAGATCCAAAAACTAAGTCCATGAAATTTGTCACCTACTACTGTCCACAGGTCTCATTGTTTAAGCTTCTCTTTAAAAAGACAGAGAAGAACAACTTTGGAACATATTACACAAACACACAGTACAAATGAAAAATACAACTGTACAGCCAAGTTTTATTTGATTGCTAAATTATTATTAGATTGTGAGGTCTGGCTCCAGCCAACAGAGATCAGACACAGCAGTGAGGACAACCCCAAATGTATAAGTGTTCCCGGACAAGCCCCCAGTGTAAAGAAAAAGAAAGAGAAGCTTTTTCTTTTAGAAACTCAGGCAGAACAACTAAGCCAAAACATATTTTAAAAGTTTAAAAAGGAAAATTATAAAGTAAAAGAGGAGGGAATTGTGGGAAGTAGAAAAGTTCCTTTTTAAAGTTTCCTTTCTTGTTAAAGGGTAAGCATGCTAATAACTTTGTTAAGCCCTATCCTTTGTAGCTGTTAGACACGCCATGCTTACAGGCACGTAGTACATTCTATGTCCTTGTACTTTAACCAGGATATCTGTGCTGGATGTGCTCACAGGCCTGTGCCAGCTCTCCATTGCTTTTACCTGTTTAGAAAAGTTTTAAGTTGTTAGCCAATCGGGTTTTAGTTTAAATTGTGAGGTTTCGCTCCAGCCAACAGAGATCAGACACAGCGATAAGGAAGACCCCAAATGTGTAAGGGATAAATTTGTCTGTTTTTCCTTTGTTCATTGTGCTCTCATGGCAGGATGGCTAGCGAGGGTACCCTTCCTGCAGTCCAGGAAGTAAAAATTTCGTTGCTGAATGATCCTCTGTCTCAGTGCTAATTTTTCTTTGTGGCACCGAGCATCTATTTCCAACAAATATTCCAGGCCAATTCTCATCAAAACCAAGCTGGGGCTGGGCGCAGTGGCTCACATTATTTGATAAATAATAAAAAATTTATTTAGCCGGGTGCGGTGGCTCAAGCCTGTAATCCCAGCACTGTGGGAGGCCGAGGCGGGTGGATCACGAGGTCAAAAGATCGAGACCATCCTGGTCAACATGGTGAAACCCCGTCTCTACTAAAAACACAAAAAATTAGCTGGGCATGGTGGCGCGTGCCTGTAATCCCAGAGACTCAGGAGGCTGAGGCGGGAGAATTGCCTGAACCCGGGAGGCGGAGGTTGCGGTGAGCCGAGATCGCGCCATTGCACTCCAGCCTGGGTAACAAGAGCGAAACTCCATCTCAAAAAAAAAAAAAAAAAAAAAAAAA